ACAACTACGTCTTTGATGGAGATGCTTTGTTCCAAGAGCAAGTGACCGTACCTACTACATTTGGGGAACTCTCAGAGTTTATTTGAATAGCTTTCAAAAGAATCATGTTTGGTTTATATAACGGATACATCCACCCTCTCTCAATCAAGAGTATTGAAAGAGATCGAAGAGGCTCATCCACAGCATATTTTATCAAAGGTCCCATGAAAAATATACCAAGAGTTCGTTGTCAACATACACACCCAAACAAGCTAAAGATTACCTGTTTCCTTTTGAACGAATGGAAAAAGGACAAATACGCACAGAAACTACCGGACAGAAAGATCTACTTTGTTTGTGAAGACAAGTGCACCTGTTTTATGAGTGTTGGTGGGCAGAAGACCGTTTCAGAAGATGTTGAGGAAGTGAACTCCATGCAGAGAAAGCAGACGCAATGATTGTGCTCCACTGCTTGCACATTGCAACCCACAGCTCATGTCACGAAGTGTAAGAGGATGTACCTAAGTCGTACCAACAGTAATGAGGTATATCACATGTCCCTTCGGGATGAAGTAACTGCATTAATAAAAACCGAATGTGAAAGGACCTGGGTGTGTATGTTGACAATTAACTGAAGTATTCGGGCCATTGTGTGAAGGTGAATCAAGCAACTAAACTAGCAGCTCCTATAAGAAGGTCGTTCAGATATCTAAACGGTCCGTCCTTCGTAACGCTCTTCAAGAGTGAGGTGCTTCCCGTCTGGAGTACTGTCACAACGTCTGGTCCCCGAGGTATATTAGAGACTATCAGTTGATTGAAATTGTCCAAAGAGATTCGAACGCCTGCAACTGCCTAGCTTATACCAAAGACGGGCAATGGGTAACGTAATTGAAGTTTTTTAAACTTCTCAGAGGGCACTACTCAGTGGAGTGTCCATACCTGGAGCTGGCGGACGACCACCCCACATGTAGTCACAGCTCAAGGTTGAAGAAGACAAATGTCCAGAAAACTGTAAGGGCAAAATTTTTCAGAGTGAGAACTGTAAACTCGTGGAACAATCTGTCATACAGTGTTGTGACGGCACCGAGTGTGAGCTCTTAATAGACCAGACTTGACCAACACTGACGCAGGTGCAGATACATTCAGAAGCCAGTACATGTTCAGTACTTGTCAACAGTGCATAACAGAGACGTGACCAACCACCTAACGGGCCAATCAGTGGCGAAGAAAATAAAAACAAAAAAGCAACAGTATCTATAACTGTGTGGTCTCCAGACACCGATGTGCTCATTTTTCTGCTGAAATTTACACAGAATATCAGACTGAAAGTTCTGTTTGATACTGGAGTCGGCAACAAAAGACTCAGACATACAAAGCGTAATTACATACAAAGCGTAATTCAGGATGTGGGGAAAGAGATCTGCCAAGCTCTTCCTGCAGTTCAATGTATTCTGTGCGTTTGTCAGAAAGGGAATGATCACAACTTTGAAGATCCTCAGCCAACACCTCGAGTTTTTTAGCACATTCGCACAATTTGGGAACTCTGAAGAAATTCCTGACATTGTGCCGTCATGCCATAGGAGATGGTGGATGTGTTGATGGAGGACCCAAAGAAGACAGAGGAGGATGAAGAAGACCCAGAATTTCGTAATCTCTTTGAGCATGATGACTAGATTTTGTGATTTTTTCTAGTCTTAACCGAGTAAAAGATGAATGAAACTCGTAAATTTTTTCAAAAGTGAAACTGGTTAAGATAGTTTTTTAATGCATAATTGAGTATCATAAATAGATTATGTAAATTTCTTTCTGTAGTCTCGACTTACTCTCGATATGAAGTACTTTTTTTTGCCATTGAATTTTCCCTTACGCTAAAAGATGAATATTAAAACTGAAATGTAAAATGCATTTCTTTTTTATTCTATTAAAATAGGTCAAGACAGCTTTTTGTTGCCACTGTCAATGCTTTCAGCTGTTAGGTTGCGAAGATTTGAACGTCATGCTGCTTTTACATAACATGAGCCTACTTCTTATTACAGAGGAATATGTCTGGCAGACAAGCAGATACTGAAAAGACATGGCTCAGACAACCGAAAAAACATGGTCTCCAAAAATTCCGAGGGGGGGGCGGGTTCGATACCTGGCCCATGGACCATGAGGACAGATGCAAACCTCCTACAGTATGTTTGACCCAGAGGAGGCTACTTCACATGCCAGTTTGGTGTATAATGTAATAAACTCCCATACTACCATATGTAAACAAAAAGCATATAAACATCTAAGTTGTTCAAACATGTAAAAAGTAAAATAATATCACGTTGTTTTGAGCTGACGACAAACAAGATAAAAGATCGAATAACCGTTGTCATAAACTCTTAACACTTTATCTGCCATGTTTATAACGCTCGTTGAATCTTCTAACAGAAGAGTTTTATATACATTGAAAAATGTCATAGTTATGGAATATTGTTGAATACAAATTTCTCAACTACTACAGCCCGGCAAGAGGGGGGAGGTTCTAATGAGTTGTGAAGGTTGCCCCCCCCCCCCCTACAATTACTAGCACATTTTAGCAAGACACATACGTCTCCATTTTAAACAATATTTTATATATGTCTATGTAATAACCTTCATGGGAGTTATGTTGAATAATAATGAACTACAAATGTATGGTGCCTTGCTAAGCGTTAATCTGCACATAACCAAAATAAGAGAGAGACCTAAGCGAGGTTACGACTACTGATCAACCTGTAAATGAGAGCAAGCGTAAACCACTCAACGAATAAATAGCATGACTGTATTAAAACTAAAACCAAAGAAGAAATACTTGCAACAGGTGGAACTGCTGCCGACCAACTTTTCATTGTCATTCACTGTTTTGTTGTTATTTATAATAAACGTAGTTTGTCAAATTCTTCGGTGTGTTTTTATTGCAAATTACATAATAATAATAATTTGAGGCCATTACATTTAGAATCAAATACATCCATTATATACTGGGTCATGAAAGTGATCCTGTCACAAAAAGGACGCTTTACTGATATTCCAGCCGTCCATCTATCACCCCTAGATTACGTGAGAGTTGCATAAAAAGAAAATAAATAAATAAATAAATAAATAAATAAATAGATAATAGATATTGCTCAGACCTGCAGCACATGCTGTGAATACTACCCTAATTTGCTGTAAAATATTATAGGCATTATTTGTGTTTTCCAGTATGCATTTATATCCTTGCCCAATACACACTGTTATAACTGAATTAGTAACTCTTTATACCTCTCCCATCTCTCTAGCCCAGAACACCCTCCTCAACTCACAAAACCCGCCACCCACTCACACACCAACCCCAATGATCCCCCGGACCACCTCTCCCCTTCATTCGTGAAGGCTTCAGATTCGCGAGTCGACACTCTCGGGATTCACACCTCACGGATTAACAAAGCTCACTGTAACAGTTGGAAAAGTCCTCAGCTGTACATCCACAACATTGACAGTTAATACAGACTTTGTCTTCTCTGGTTTATGAGCAGTGCCACATTTTCTGAAGGCTCCTTAGGAATCTTCCTTTTTTTTGCAAATGAATCAGCTTGTACATTCACACTTCTTGATTTAATGTGTGAGTTGGGCTTAGGTCTGAACTATTTAGACTGTACAGTTAGGATTCCAGCAATCAGTAATGTTATGTCCAACTCACTTACCAAATGAACATGTGACATCCCTTGAATAACTGTTGGTATCATCACCATTTTCAGATGCATGAGGTTTTTTGTGAATACTTCCCCAATTCACTTGAATCTCCATGAGTCAAACCTTGTGAGTCAACCTTCACAAAGCGCTAAGATTCGCGGACTCTGGGTAGTGAATACTTATCTGTTAACTTAGTTCCTGTAACAACCTGTGTACAATGAAAGACAAAAGTCGTGTCGTGAAATTTGGTGAAAACATATGCCGAAGGGCTAAACATTTGGTGCGCTCTGCCTTGTGGTAGGGGGCACTCATAATGTTTCACGAGTTATATTTAATCTTTGGACAAAACCGCGACACGACTTGTACACTCGCTACAGAAATTATCTGCAAGGTGGGTACGACGGATGTCAAAATGAACACTGCTACTTCTGTTGTCTCGGTTGGGTTGTTAAAATCCTTCGTCCGCTATGTCATATTGTCTAGCAAAATTTTTTGCAGATTCATTTTGTTGCGAGGGTACTTCTCTCTTGTCTAGGTACTGGCTGATTTCAGAAGAACATTACGCTTAAATTGTTCTAAAATCATAACTTTTTTAAGCTGGTCATTTGTAGAAATTTTACTAGCCCTTAGCCATTTCCCAAAGTAACGGTTCAATTCGTCGGCAAACTCTAAAGTAAAAAATGTTGGGTGCCTTTTGTTGGTTCCTAAAATTTACACGGTATGTTTCAGCAACCTAATAATATACCTGTAACACACTAGTCTTTATAACGTGGCAATTCATGTTATATTCACTGCTAAGACTGACATAAATTTGTCTAGCTTTACCTAAGAGTTTTGTCCGCACCAAAACAGCCCAATATTGTTTATCCTAGAATTCTTACCAAGATCAAAAGTTTTCTGTATCACTGTACTGTCATGCGTACTGACAACTGAAAAATTGTGTTAGTGATACTGGGCTAATTGTAATTATTGCAATGCCAGCCCCTTTTCCCCACCATTTTATCTAATATTTTGTTTTCATACTTTCCTACATTCTTGAACTCTTTTCATTCTTCTTCAATTCCCTTCCCCTCGCCTCAAATTAACATGTATCCAGCTTGTCTTAGAGGGGTACGGATGCTGAGTGGATACAGTGATCGGTTCCAATCCTGAGGATCACTGGTTCGAGTTTGGGTGCACCTATTGCAGAGTGCAGTTGTTACTTCAGGGGCCAGATATTCAATGTTTATGCTTCCGAGAGAAAAAAATTTCTTATAATAAAAGCAAAATACACCACAAATATTTCGTTAGGTCAACTTGACAAGGAATCGTATAGCAGAGCACTGGTTCCTTACCTTCCAGGACTTGGTACTATTGTGTGACCTGTAACATGCACCGTTGTAGGCGATGTAGTTGCTGAAGGGCGAGTTGCAGGTGGGCGGGGGGTGATGGTTTTGCTGATCCGGGTCTGTTGAAGATTCTAGTTACCTTCTCATCAAACCTGAATAAGCTCAATATTCAATTATATGAGTGTCTGTTAACAGTTACACGCACACTTTGTGACTGGTGAAGGACAGTTTAACTTGGGAATTTTTTTTTCATGAAGCCAAATAAATATATATTGTTTCAGGTGTTAAAGTGGCTGTAAACATAAAGTGGGAGAAGTTGAAGGACACTCTACAGAGAATATTATTTGAAGATCAATGTAAATATACACAAAGATTGGGTTGGTATGATAATAATAAAAAACAAAAGCAGCATCACGTGGAAGACGAAGCTTTAAATTTGAACACTACTGTACGCTGGCCATAATGACATGCAGCCACTATATATTTTACTAAACCTTTTTTGGTTCTATCTGTGAAAGGTTTAGCAATCTGATAACCTTAAACATTTCTTAAGAACTGTGAATACAGGTCACGTGGAATTAATTCGTAATTCTGTATCACAGTTTGTATTAAAGCACTTTGACCTTACTTGTATGAACATGACAATATTTAGCTAATGTTAACCCAACAGCAGTGTTCCCCAACCCTGTGACCCGGGTCACAGTACTGTGACCCAAACCATCTACTAGTGTGACCCGACAGACTACTGTGACCAGGTGCTGTTACCCAGGAGCAGCTGTGACCGACACTGTGACCCACAAAAATCAGTGAACAAGTCAATCCTGCTATACCCTGTGCACACTACAAATCCACACCCGATACCAATCGCGTCAGTGCCTCTTTGAAAATAGCGCACCTGCTCGCTACCAAAAAGAAACCTTTCACAGAGAGTGAAGAAATCATCGTACCAGCAATGAACATCCTTGCAGAAGAAGAGCTTGATAAAAGTGCTGCTTTGAAGCTAAATGAGGTCTCCCTTTCAGCCACAACAATAGATCGCCGGACGTTGATGATTGCTGAGGACCTGCTTGTACAGGTAGCCGAAAAAGTTAGGAAAAGTCCCTGCTATGAATTGCATTTTGACAAGTCGACAGCTTTCACAAACAGGATTCAGGCGATATGCTTCATTCACTTTTGTTGATAGTATGCACTTGCAAATGACAGAAGAGTTTCTTTTCTGTGAAGATGTTGGCGCAGAAACTACCGGTGAAGCAATTGCAAAAAAAAGTTCTGGACTGTCTCACCCACAATGGGATTACAATTGAAAAGTGTTCACACATCACAACCTATGGCGCAGCGAGTATGGTTGAGATGAGAAATGGTGCAGTGGCAAGATTGAAAGATTATTCACCGAACTGTTGAAGTTCTCACTGCGCCCTGCATCGCCAGAATTTGGCATCAAAGCATCTACAAGGTGAGTCCGATTTAGATGCAGTAATGAAAACGTGCGTCATTATCATCAATGATATCAAGAGCAAAGCTAAGAACTCTCGCATGTTCCATGACTCCTGAGGTTGGGATGAGGGAGACTGAGTAGACCCTGCTGTTTCACAGCGAAGTGCAATGGTTATCAAGCGGAGTTGCACTGAAGAGACTCTTTCAACTAAGGAAGGAAGTTCATGGCTTCTTGCAAGAATGTGGCTCACCGCATGCATTCTGTTTCATGCAAGTGGAGTGGGTTGCTCAGCTTTCTTACTTGTGTAATATATTCACCAAGCTCAATATGTTGAACCTTTCCCTTCAACGGCCAGGTCAAGATGTGTTCACTTCCAATGTCACAATTGAGGCATTCAAATTGAAAATTTCAGGGTGGAAGAAAAGAGTTGAGAGAAGGGACTTTTCAGACTTCAATGAGCTTGGGCACGTGATTGCAGATTACAAGGACGAAGTCATTGACGACAAAATGTTGTTGTGTCCCAACATCTCACTGTTCTCCAACAGAATTTTAACCACAATTGTCCTACTGCAAATGAGGAAGAAAAGAAGAAGAATAGTTGGATAAGAAACCCATTCCTTATCTCAAACTTGAACGACAGCAATCTTCCCTCTCAAGAAAAAGACACACTGATCGAACTCCACTGTGACTAAAAAATAAAGGACTTTTTCAACAGCCGCAACCACACCGACTTTTGGGTATCAGTGAGCGAGAAAGAATCATATGAGCTGATTGCTGGTAAAGCACCCCAAGTTCTGGTGGCATTCCACAGCACTTACTCCTCTGAGAGAGGGTTCTCAGATCAGCTCACCATCAAGAGCAAAATAAGGCAGAGGCTTGGACAGACGATGTTGTCTGCATTCATGAGTGGCAACGACAAGAAATATCCCCCCACGATTCAACTTGCTTCACTGCAATTATCCAGCAACAAAAATCACACTGAAAGTATCCAATGCCATATGCAGTTTGTAATGAGGCGTGGCTGCCCAAATAAATTGTATGTGTAAGTATTTTTTATTTTGTACTTTGTACTATAAGTGAAAATGTAATGATCAATTTTATTGGATAAATGCAGTTTATTGTAATATATTTGTAGTGTACACTCATACAGAAGTATGATTTTCCTCTTAAATGTATCCTTTTTATGATGATAACTTTATATGTGACCAAAGGATTTAGAGGTGCTGAGAACTGTGACCCATTGCTGAAAAGGTTGGGGAACAAAGACGAGGGTAATAACTGTACAGAAGTTTGCATTAACTGTTGTAGTTTTGTTGAGACACATGATAGTTGAAATAGTTCTGAATATAAAATTCTTTAATTTGTAATTAGTAATGCTATTATATGTCGACATTTAGAAAGAAAACAAAGACATACAGTACAGTACCTTGCTTCGTCATGCAGACATAACCATACACATTTGAACAATGAACATCGCTCCACTGGCCTGTTGCGTAGGAAGCAACCACACATATATCCTGTAAATTGAAACAAAGTTAAATATTATTATGTCTATATTGTGCAACACTGAATTAATTCACAAAACATCTTTTTAAAAGCATTCTAGAGTGGAGACCCTTCCAGGCAAAAGCATGTCATAGATTAACTGATGCAGATTAAATCGTGTCCGTGTGATAATTAAGTAAGATCACGACATCAGAAACTGAGCCTTTCCAGTGAGCCTACTGATGCAAATGAGTCCCTTTGAAACTTAGATGAGCGGTAACTATCCAGCTGTCATTAAAGCTTGTACTGCTATGGGCCGCAATGCTAATAAAACCTACTTGCTTTTAGTCAGCCTTTAGTTCTATGGCTAAGAAGCAGATACTAGGGAATGGCTGTTCTTTGATTGTATCTCCATTAGTTGTATGGCATCACTTACTACCTACCAGTGATGACTGATACCATTTTTATGTTGAATGATTAAAGATATTTTCGCATGAATTGGTAGAAATTTAAAGTATCCTTCCACATTTCGTGTATTTTAAATATGAGTCTTATTATTTTGCCTGGTGACAGCGTAAATTCAGCAAACCTCCACTGATAGTGGTCGTCCTTGTTATGAAAAGACAATAGTGGTCGTCCTTTTTATAAGGACAGTAGTGTCCGTCCTTGTTATAAGAGACAGTAGTAGACGTCCTTTTTATAAGGACAGTAGTGTCCGTCCTTGATATAAGAGACAGTAGTAGTCGTCCTTGTTATAAAAAGACAGTAGTCGTCGACCTTGTTATCAGAGACAGTAGTGGTCGTCCTACTTATAAGAGACAGTAGTGGTCGTCCTACTTATAAGAGACAGTAGTGGTCGTCCTACTTATAAGAGACAGTAGTGGTCGTCCTAGTTATAAAAAGACAGTAGTGGTCGTCATTGTTATAAGAAAAAGTAGCGGTCGTCCTTGTTATAAGAGACAGTAGTGGTCGTCATTGTTATAAGAGAAAGTAGTGGTCGTCCTTGTTATAAGAGACAGTAGTGGTCGTCATTGTTATAAGAGAAAGTAGCGGTCGTCCTTGTTATAAGAGACAGTAGTGGTCGTCACTGTCATAAGAGACAGTAGTGGTCGTCATTGTTATAAGAGACAGTAGTGGTTGTGCTTGTTATAAGAGACAGTAGTGGTCGTCATTGTTATAAGAGAAAGTAGTGGTCGTCCTTGTTATAAGAGACAGTAATGGTCGTCATTGTTATAAGAAACAGTAGTGGTCGTCTTAGTTATAAGAGACAGAAATGGTCGTCCTTGTTATAAGAGACAGTAGTGGTTGTCCTTGTTATAAGAGACAGTAGTGGTCGTCATTGTTATAAGAGACAGTAGTGGTCGTCATTGTTATAAGCGACAGTAGCGGTTGTGCTTGTTATAAGAGACAGTAGGCTGAGTAGGGGTCGTCATTGTTATAAGAGGCAGTAGTGGTCGTCATTGTTATAAGTGACAGTAGTTTTTGTGCTTGTTATAAAAGACAGTAGTGGTCGTCCTACTTATAAGAGACAGTAGTGGTCGTCATTGTTATAAGAAACATTAGTGGTCGTCCTAGTTATAAGAGACAGTAGTGGTTGTCCTTGTTATAAGAAACAGTAGTGGTCGTCATTGTTATAAGAGAAAGTAGTGGTCGTCATTGTTATAAGAGACAGTAGTGGTTGTCATTGTTATAAGAGAAAGTAGTGGTTGTCCTTGTTATAAGAGACAGTAGTGGTTGTGCGAGCTATAAGAGACAGTAGTGGTCGTCATTGTTATAATAAACAGTAGTGGTCGTCCTAGTTATAAGAAACAGTAGTGGTCGTCCTAGTTATAAGAGACAGTAGTGGTTGTCCTTGTTATAAGAGACAGTAGTGGTTGTCATTGTTATAAGAGACAGTAGTGGTTGTCCTTGTTATAAGAGACAGTAGTGGTTGTGCGTGTTATAAGAGACAGTAGTGGTCGTCATTGTTATAAGAGACAGTAGTGGTCGTCATTGTTATAAGAGACAGTAGTGGTTGTCCGTGTTATAAGAGACAGTAGTGGTCGTCCTACTTATAAGAGACAGTAGCGGTCGTCATTGTTATAATAATCAGGAGTGGTCGTCCTAGTTATAAGAGACAGTAGTGGTTGTCCTTGTTATAAGAAACAGTAGTGGTCGTCATTGTTATAAGAGAAAGTAATGGTTGTGCTTGTTATAAGAGACAGTAATGGTCGTCCTAGTTATAAGAGACAGTAGTGGTTGTCCTTGTTATAAGAAACAGTAATGGTCGTCCTTGTTATAAGAGACAGTAGTGGTTGTGCTTGTTATAAGAGACAGTAGTGGTTGTCATTGTTATAAGAGACAGTAGTGGTCGTCCTTGTTATAAGAGACAGTAATGGTCGTCATTGTTATAAGAAAAAGTAGTGGTCGTCATTGTTATAAGAGACAGTAGTGGTTGTGCTTGTTATAAGAGACAGCAGTGGTCGTCCTACTTATGAGAGACAGTAGTGATGGTCCTAGTTATAAGAGACGGTAGTGGTCGTCATTGTTATAAGAGACAGTAGTGGTTGTCCTAGTTATAAGAGACAGTAGTGGTTGTCCTTGTTATAAGAGACAGTAGTGGTCGTCATTGTTATAAGAGACAGTAGTGGTTGTCCTTGTTATAAGAAACAGTAGTGGTCGTCATTGTTATAAGAGAAAGTAGTGGTTGTGCTTGTTATAAGAGACAGTAATGGTCGTCCTAGTTATAAGAGACAGTAGTGGTTGTCCTTGTTATAAGAAACAGTAATGGTCGTCCTTGTTATAAGAGACAGTAGTGGTTGTGCTTGTTATAAGAGACAGTAGTGGTCGTCATTGTTATAAGAGACAGTAGTGGTTGTGCTTGTTATAAGAGACAGTAGTGGTCGTCATTGTTATAAGAGACAGTAGTGGTCGTCATTGTTATAAGAAAAAGTAGTGGTCGTCATTGTTATAAGAGACAGTAGTGGTTGTGCTTGTTATAAGAGACAGTAGTGGTCGTCCTACTTATAAGAGACAGTAGTGATGGTCCTAGTTATAAGAGACGGTAGTGGTCGTCATTGTTATAAGAGACAGTAGTGGTTGTCCTTGTTATAAGAGACAGAAGTGGTCGTCCTACTTATAAGAGACAGTAGTGGTCGTCATTGTTATAATAAACAGTAGTGGTCGTCCTAGTTATAAGAGACAGTAGTGGTTGTCCTTGTTATAAGAGACAGTAGTGGTCGTCATTGTTATAAGAGACAGTAGTGGTTGTCCTTGTTATAAGAGACAGTAGTGGTCGTCTTACTTATAAGAGACAGTAGTGGTCGTCATTGTTATAATAAACAGTAGTGGTCGTCCTAGTTATAAGAGTAAGTAGTGGTTCTCCTTGTTATAAGAAACAGTAGTGGTCGTCATTGTTATAAGAGAAAGTAGTGGTCGTCCTTGTTATAAGAGACAGTAGTGGTTGTGCGTGTTATAAGAAACAGTAGTGGTCGTCATTGTTATAAGAGAAAGTAGTGGTCGTCATTGTTATAAGAGACAATAGTGGTTGTGCTTGTTATAAGAAACAGTAGTGGTCGTCATTGTTATCAGAGAAAGTAGTGGTCGTCCTTGTTATAAGAGACAGTAGTGGTTGTGCGTGTTATAAGAGACAGTAGTGGTCGTCATTGTTATAAAAGAAAGTAGTGGTCGTCCTTGTTATAAGAGACAGTAGTGGTTGTGCTTGTTATAAGAGACAGTCGTATTCGTCATTGTTATAAGAGACAGTAGTGGTCGTCTTTGCCTTAAGATTTGTTATAAGAGATAGTCGTGGTCGTCCTTGCTTTAAGATTTGTTATAAGAAATAGTAGTGGTCGTCCTAGTTATAAGAGACAGTAGTGGTCGTCCTTGCTTTAAGAATTGTTATAAGAGATAGTAGTGGTCGTCCTTGTTATAAGAGACAGTAGTTGTCCTCCTTGCTGTCCTGCTGTAGAGACAGTAGCGGTCGTCCATTCATTAGAGACAGTAGTGTAGTGGTCGTTCTTGTTATAAGAGACAGTAATGGTCGTCCTTGTTATAAGAGACAGTAGTGGTTGTGCGTGTTATAAGAGACAGTAGTGGTCGTCATTGTTATAAGAAAAAGTAGTGGTCGTCCTTGTTATAAGAGACAGTAGTGGTTGTGCTTGTTATAAGAGACAGTCGTATTCGTCATTGTTATAAGAGACAGTAGTGGTCGTCTTTGCCTTAAGATTTGTTATAAGAGATAGTCGTGGTCGTCCTTGCTTTAAGATTTGTTATAAGAAATAGTAGTGGTCGTCCTAGTTATAAGAGACAGTAGTGGTCGTCCTTGCTTTAAGAATTGTTATAAGAGATAGTAGTGGTCGTCCTTGTTATAAGAGACAGTAGTTGTCCTCCTTGCTGTCCTGCTGTAGAGACAGTAGCGGTCGTCCATTTATTAGAGACAGTAGTGTAGTGGTCGTTCTCGTTATAAGAGACAGTAATGGTCGTCCTTGTTATAAGGTACAGTAGAAAACTCCTGTAAATTATCAGGGATCCTCATGTCCCACGCCCTTCATTTCTTACTGAACGTGATCTTTTGTATAATGTAGATAATTTTCCTTGACGACTTGCAGTGATAGCGAACCCTTTTTTTTCGTTATCAAGTGAAGATCTAGGTAAGAGAGCAAGGCATGCTGAGACAACCCAGGAGAAAAACGGGAAATCTTCTCGAATGTTGCAACCTTTGTTTCAGGAAGCTTATATAGAAAAGGTTTGAGGCATCCATTCTCATTAACTTAATTTCTTGCTCTTCAAAACCATAGAAAGACAAAAGAAACGAGTGTTTGGCATTAAAGTTTGATTATCGTCACCAAAAGGTCAAACCACATTGTCTCCCGTGGTTGCGGGTAGTGTGCCATCGAAAGCTAGCAAGTACTACCCGAGCAATACTAAGCCTTGGACATTAAACACGAAGGAAAGTTTAAAAATGAACAAACATAAAATTAGGATTGGAACATGGTATGTAAGGTCATTATATGAGGCATGTGAATATGAAATGTTTATAGGAAAATTTAAA